CCGTTGCGGTGCGGTTGTGAGGGGGCGTGCCGCAGGGCCGGGCCCGGAGAGCGGCCTACCGGCAGGGCGCCGCGGCTCGGGGTGAGGGGGGAAGGCGGCCCTCCTGGCCCGGCCTCCAGTGGTACCTCAGCCCCGTCGTAGCCGGCAGCGCTTTGGCAGCCTCGCTGGCTCCGGCCTCCCGTCGCGGCCAAGGTGAACAGGGCACTGGCGTGGCAAGGTTTTGCCGGGTGGCCGTGGAAGGATGTGTCCTTGCATTACGGGCAGGGCCAGAAGAATAAAACCAACTCCTTCCAGATATTTTCCCCCGGCTCTTTTACAACGTTTTGGTAGCCTAGAGTCTGTGGTGATGTTGTCCCTTTAGTACCCACTGAAGGTGTTTTTTTTGAGGGGAGAGTAATATATCAGGTAGGTTTATTTTGCATGGAGATGCCTCCATTGCCCAAGACTTACAATGTACGCCTTGTGAATGCACGGCTTGTAAACTTCCTCCAGGTCAACTTTTTGGGTGGAGAATTATGCTTCTTTATACACCATGGCACATCTGTGCTGGAAGGAAAAGAAACATTTAGCATTTGGAATTATATATTCCTGAAGTAGCCTTATTTGGTAAGGATATTCCATGCCTCTCTAGCTTCAATCATTCATGACAGGCTTTTGGAGATATTTTGTTATCTTAATCCTTTTTCTTTCACTGTCAGCCTTGTTTTATTAGAATTATTCAGTCTTAAGAATAGCTCTAGGAGTGAGTTGTATGGGGAGCGTAGGAGAAAATGACCATGGTAGTGGATGAAGGAGTGTTTTTGTGAAATATGGACCAGACATTAATGACTACTTCTGCAGAGCATAAAGAACATTTGTTACCATTGGTAGCAGGACTTTGTGTGTGTGTTAAGAAACTCAGTAAGGGTACTGGCAATACCAGGAGAATATTGGTTCATATGATACTAGCCTGTGCCATGTATTTACGTTTAAAGTGATCTTGGAAAAATCTAGATAAACACTTTGCTATCGGAAGTGTCTTGTTGTCTCTTTTTCATATGTTTCTATTACCCTCTAGAAACCTAGAGGGTAGAATAATTCACAAGACTATCCGTGACGTTAGGTCACTTCCAGAGTTGAAAATGCCAAGGTGAAAGGTAGCTCGTAGCTTGAGACACACATGCCATACTGCAGAACAGCTGCAGAAATTTTCAGCTGCTTAGGGCTTTCATTTACTTCCACCATTTTAAGGGTGCTTTGGTGCATTAAATATCAGGTTGTTCTTTTGGTTCACTGCTTTCTTCTTATTTTTGACCTCTGGTAGAGATTTAATTAATATCTTCCTTTAGGTTGCTCTTAGCTCAGGTTGATTCCTTGCCAATCACTGTTTTCATTTCAGGGTTGATTTAGGAAACATAGTGGAGTAGAACAGTCCTAACTATTTCTGACTTCTGCCTGCTGTCCTGTGTGCTGATTTTTGACTGGCAGTCTCAAGGCTGAGTGGTCTGGAATGGTCTATGATCATGCTGGTGGTCTCCAATTTGTTCAGCTGCTGACATCTGTGCTGAATAGTGGTGTGTGCGAAAGGAAGAACTAGGAAGAAGTCAGTTTTGTTGAGTGAAATTAATCTGTAGTTGAAATCTGACTGGAATTACATAATTGGTGGCTTTGTCCATTTTTGTTTCATACCTGCATAAAAATGGAGACATTACTTTTTCCTTAGATGGGAATAATGGCTGTGGTAATGCTTTTCTTCACCTGTGATCTTTATATCTTCACGGGAGTGCCATAGCCCATATCTGCTCTTACAGATTGCATATACAGTAGTTACAACTCGAAGCATGGTTCTGACCCCATTTTGAAATTTAAATGGAACTGGAGGGAAGTGACTGGTACCACTTACAAGCTCTTTGTTTCTATTATATGTTATGTCATTTGCATCTGTTTTCAAAACTCCCTGACAAATTGTTGTTATTTTGCTATGTGTTCTTTGCTAACTGCTAGAAGAAAAATCTACACATTCTCCAGCCAGACATATTAGGAAGAAAGAATGTGAAATTACCTGTACTTAAGAAGGTTGCTGCTGTAGTATGATAAACCGAGAAAAATGTTCCTCTCGTTCTCTTCTCTCCCAGCTCTTTGCAAAGCACTTCAAATGAGGGTAGGAATGAAAAACACCCTTTAGGAATGAATGTCCGCCTCTCAGGTATGTGTGCAGAAGTTTGGTAGCAGAGGGTGGGATTTGCAGGGAATGAGATAGGTGGAATAATCATTTCTATCAGAATGGGCACAGACATAAAGTCCTAAGTGCTATGGTGACCTCTCAGTTCTTACTGTTATAACGTGTTGAAGTCTTACCAAGTTTTGCAAAACGACACGCATACTTAGTGTTTTCAGTGCCATTACATCTTAAAGAGAATTATGTATGCCAACAGTGTATTAACTCTGTCAGTGTTGTCCCAGTTGCTCTGAGCTTTTGCAGGACTTAATCTGCTTTCAAAATGGTGCTGATAGTATTTATGTTCCTACAGTTGCCTAGGAGCCCTATTCATAGACAGAGTATTCAGACAGGAGGGAATCAGTGTTGTAATAAGCTTTGAATCTGTGAAATGGGAAATAACAAGTGAATATAGGTAGACAGGAAATAATGCTGCTGTATAGGGGATTCAGCATACTAGTAGCCTAACCATTGCCAATTTGCTGAAAATGCCAAGTGCGGAGAGAAGAGTGTGTAGTTTTGAGGTTTTGGGTGTTTTGTAGGTTTAAAGGAGGATTGTATATCAGTTTTGGTGATGCTGCCTCGGGAGAATACTTTTCACGTATCTGGGCACCATGGAGAACGTGAACAAGTGCTTGCTTGGAAAATTCAGCAAGTGGATGATGGCAGCTGGTGTTTACGAGCTAGACATCAGATCTGGTAGTGGATGAGAGGGAAAAGGCTGCAGAAGTCTTGAAAGAGGAGACAAGGGAATTTAATGTGATAAAGGAGGAGAGTTCACTGCTGGGATGATATGGTTAAAGTCAGTGACTAGAAAGGGTATCGAGTTAGCAGCTTTTAAAATAGATGTTGAGTTAAAAATGTCATGTAAAGAATGTGATGCCAGAAAAGAGCATGCAGTAATACTGTCTTATTCAGTAAGAGCCTTTTTTTTCATCTCTTTTTTTTTTTTTAAGACCAATATTCATTTTTAAATTGGATGATGAAAAATATAGCTTTTCCTATCCCTTATAAATTTAGGAATTTTATAACCATATATTTCCATTTTGGAGGGGGAGGGGGAAGAGGAAAAACAGTGAGAAAATAATTTAATGGTATTTATATACGGAAAATGTTTATACAGAATTTTTAAGGTATCTATTACTTCTTGAATTGGGGATAAAATAATCTTTACATGTAATAAGCAACATAAAATTTGATCTATGACTCAAAATGACAGTGTTGTTTTTAAAACACTTTAAAGTTCATTTGGCAGCTCAGTACTTTTGTTTGTTTTTAGCAATTGTTCAACTAGTCACACTAAACAACAAAAAACTTGGATTTTGCCTTCTGACCAAATAAATTATTTCTCTGCATGGACAACAAAACAAATGAGAGACACCTCAGAGTTAAATCTCAATTTTTCTTCCTCTTAATTAGTATCCTACCCTTTATGTTCTTGTAGCTTTCTAAATACTTCTAAAGTGAAAACAAACCTAGTCATTTATTTTCACATTATTGGTATTCCTTTGCAATTTTAGCAACTTCGGCATGAAGATTATACTATTTTTGGTCTAATTGTAAGCTACATTTGTTCTTATTCTGAAGGTGAGCTTTGATTCCCTTTGCTAGCACTGGAGCTGATGGTGTTCAACATGCCCAAGATTCAACCCTTACTTTTTCTCACTGTGTTCAAAATTACAGGGAATCTGCTCTCCATGTTAAAAAAAACTCATAAGAGGTCATTGGAAGGACAAGATAAATATTGCTAGTTAGGAAAGCAAATTAAACTGAGCCTTTTTGTAGTGTAACACTGATTGAAGGCTAATGTCAATATGAACACTTCACTAACACTTTTAATTATTTTGTCAGCTCCATTATTCATGGCATAAATTTGAGGTAGCAGGCTTTTTTTCAACCACTGCGTTTGCGGTTGATGCTGTTCATTGGACCTACCTCAGTTTGGCTTGGTAAAAGGCCGCAGCTTTCTACAACCGAGAGACAGCAGTTACGGTTGCCAAGAGCTCCAGAGAAGTCAGTGATAAGCGGACTCATTTGTTCCCAGGGAACCGGGGCTCAGGGGGCATGTGGTATAAGTGGTATCATGATTGCTTCAGGAACCAGGATGATGTTATCAGTTTCAGATGCTGTGAGGTGAACTGATTGATGTGGGGATGGCCATCAGCAGCACTTCCACTGCCGTAAGTGTAGCTCTACGGTCAGTCATGGAGTGGCCTCTCTCCTGAAGAGAACTTTGTGCCTTCAAGCCTGAGCTTTGTTGAAGAGCACTCTAGCCATAAACCTCAGTTTTCACTGTGAGACTGAAATGCATCTGCAATTCATCGGCTCTTTTTCTGATTAGGTTTGTTTTTGTCTTTATTAATAGACTTGGATCTTCTGTCTAATAAACAAACATGAGTCATCTGAAATTGTTTGCGGCTACGCTGAAGTGGCATGGCATTAAACTTCTGGAAAAGCAAGATATAGCCAGAAAGGTATTTTTACATGGCCTACGGTATGCTTCATCAGGAACCTCAGAACCATTCCTGAGTGGGAGTAATTCAAATTATGTGGAAGAAATGTATTATGCATGGCTGGAAAACCCTAAAAGCGTACATAAGGTAAGTCTAAAACTTGACTGTAAATGATAATACTAGGTTAAGGGTGGAATCGATTTTTTTTTTCTTTTTTAACTTGTTTTATAAAAAGTCTAGAAAAAGGTCTTGTATGAATTGAAGAATGTGAAACTAATTTCCCACATATTGATTGCTGTAAGATGTGATATTGCAGCAGAAAAAGTACAGAGGAGCCACAGGCATGGTGAGCTGAGTGGAAAGAATGAGAAGTCCAGACCAGAAATAGTAAGCTGCTCAGAAACTTTCAGCATTCCTCCATGGAAATGCTGTTCAAGCAGTCTGTTAAGTAACTAGTTACATCTGGAACAAGACCCAAGAAATATAATACTTTTAATTTTTTGGTTTATTGTGACAAGGTTGTATCAGAGGATGTGTTATATTTAAATAGTATGTGTTGACGTTGGTACATCTAAACTGTCTGAAGAAGATGAATGTTTGGTTCCCTTTGGGTAGCTGTGGAAGTTGTAACCTTAAAACTGAATCTGAAATTGTCAGAAAAGCCTTCTTAAGTATCTTGAAAAGTATTTTGTTCTGTCTCTCTCAAATCCTTTCTTGTGGGCAAAATACATAGACTTATTTTTTAACAAGCTTTCTGCTGACAAGGAAGGCTCTCTTACGGTGATACATGTATAGTAACTTAAGAAGCTGATGAGAAGTCTGATAAATTCTAAGACAGACAAGTCATTTTCTAGAGAAGTAATGTGACTTGTACCCAAAGTGTTTAACTAATTGGTTGTGTGTTCCCTTAGTCTTAGGGCACATATATCAAAATGTCACTTAGAAGTTGTTGCTCTAAGTCTGATAATCTATCTAGACTGTGAGGAAGTGGCGCATGTTGAGGGGAAAAAAAAAGAAGACCAAAAAAAGCAATTTTGTAGCTGTTTTTTTGGGATGTTGCGTGTGAATTTAGTCTTGTTGGAAGGTGACATATGCAGTGACAACTCTGAAGACTGAAGGTTATTCACCTATCAGATGGATCCTAGGTCTTTTGTGTTATGCCTTAACTCGAAACTGAAGAGACCATCTCCAGGAGTGTCTCCTCTTGTCCCATCTGTCTTTCCTTCCTCCTCATGTAACTGCCAGGTAAGTTTCCAACCAGTGTAGGGCAGGGCAGCACATTGTGTGGATGCATTGAACTGATTTCTGAGAAGCCCTCATGATGTGTTGGTGCTATAGATCGATATTAACCCTTTATTTTGAGGCCACTGAAGGAATGAAGTCATGCAGAAGGGGCGTGTGTGGTGACGTCTTGTTTTTACTTGTTTTGTTTAAGTTGCATCGACTCGCGACAACCTTCTTTCCTTTCAGAAGAACTAAATTTCTTGGTCAGACCCTTTACAGCGGAGTGAATTGTGCTGCTGTGAAGTCTTGCATGCTTCTGATGGGGCATAAACCGCAGTAAACGTCACAGGTGTTTGGCAGTTACATCGGCCGTGAGCAGGAGGCGGGGAGCGCGGGAGCGAGAGCACGCGCGCGCGCTGCGGGC